GGGTCGAGGAGCACTCAGTGAAGTGATGAGTGAGAATGCAGAACTGGTTGAAGACTCCTGCACATTCAACGATTTGGTGATTACAGTCAGACAGTGTGTACAAACACAAGCATATTCACAAGGCAGTGACACAGATTTGATTTCATCAGATGGTGGATACACTACGCAGTCAACGTCAGATCGACTTCATCTCAATGTGAGGAGAGTGGAGACGCAGCCTACTGGACACAAGATGAGATGAAGAAGGGGAGCAGACTTGGTGTGGTGGTGGTGGTGGTTCACACCACTCACTATCCAGTGCAAGGAACTCTCCTTCAAAATCAAGTTGGAAGGTGTGGAAGAAGAAGCTGTTGATGGATGATGGACCATAGTTGAGGTTGAACACCCAGAACACAAACTCAACTCAACTCACTCAGCTGAACTCAGATCAACAGTAGTGAACTGAACTGAAATACGAAATGCAAGACATCTTCACGTCATTCAGTCAGTCAGTCAGTCAGTCGGTCAGTTATCAGACGAAATGGGAGACATTGAGCAACATACTAGAAGAAAGTTGAGTGGAAGAACACTGGAACTGTTGCAAGAGATGTCGAAGGAAACATGCATAACCGTGGTGTTAGGAAGGAAGAAGAAGCAAGACAGGACAGGACAAGGAATGGATCTCAACGGATCTCTACATGGAAGCTGATATAGGGAGAGGGAGAGGGAGAGAAGAGGGCGAGGACGATGGTGAGGCAGAAGATGGAAGAGAGAAGTGAAGTGAAGTGCAGTGCAGTGCAGTGCAGTGAAGGATGAACAATGAAAGACGAAGTGAACACAGCACAGCAACACACTATACTCCACAAAGAAGTGAAGAGGAGTGTGCACAAAGACAATGGACACTTCCACAATACACTTGTAGGTGAAGCAGAACAGCCTGCTGGTAGGAGAGATGGAGAGAGATCTGACAACATCTTATCAAATAACCAGGATACCATCTGGAAGGGAAGAGATCAACACAGATGAAAGCAATGAGAGGAAGTGAAGGAAACCTAGTTATCACCAAAGAGGAGAAAGAAAGTCAACGATGGGCTGACCACTTCAAAAAACTCTGGAATCGACCACCAACACCACCACCACCATCATCATAACCACCATCACCATCACCATCACCATCACCACATTCAACACATCCACAAATATCACCAGCAACCACAGAGCTACCAGTGAACACAAGCTCTCCGTCAAATGCAGAAGTGAAGTCCTGAACGCCATGAACAGGCTGAAATCAGGGAATGCAATGTGACCAGATGAAATTCCTCAACAAGCACTGAAAACAGACACAGAGACAACAGCAGTGGACATGCCAACACCACACCACTATTGCAGAGGGTTTGCAATGAAGGAAGGTGAGGTACCTGCCGATTGATTCGAAGAATGTCTAACTTGTCAAACTGCCAAACAAGGGAGACCTAGTCTGAGTCTTTGCAAGAAGTAGCATGAAATCAATCTGCTGTCTCTGTCCACTCAAAGTAAGCAAACTATTAAGCCTCGTCATATTGGAGAAAGTGAAGTGATGCACTGGATTCAAAACTACGACCGGAACAGGTTGGCTTGCTGGCTAGCTGGCTGGCTGGCTGGTTTCAGGAAGTGCAAATCATGTGCGGATCAGATTGCAAAGCAAAGCAACGCAACGCTACACATCATCATAGAACAGTGCGTAGAATGCCAGTCAACTCAACCTCAATCTCAATTTCATCGACTTCGAAAAGGCCTTCGACTGAGGCGTCCAACGAGAACTAGTTTCACAGGCAGCTGATTCAACACCACGCTTTTAGGTAGTGCCACAAACCTTTACAAACCTCATTCAACAGCAGCTGTATGCTGCATGAAGGAAGACACATGCCATGTGATTCAGATTTTCAACACTAATTCACTCAGTCAAGCAATTCAGTACTTCCATGTGATGGTTCAGAAACTTGGCGATTATGAAAAGCATTCCCAACAAACTACAGACATTCATCATCATCATCATCATCATCAACGCTGCCGCCTACGCTCTGCTCACTCGATACTGCACTGAAGATGGAGATGAGATGGATAGCCAGAATAATGAGAATGAGGAACAAGCAACTCACTCTGGCTGGTTGGCTGGCTGACTGGCTGGCCAATCAAGAACCTATCGCCCAACAAATATGCAGAAGAAATTGGAGATGGATTGAATTGGACATACACTGAGAAGACAGATAGAGGATATCACGTGCCAGGCTAGGCTAGGCGAGGCCAGTTCAGGTCAGGCCAGACCAGTCCGTCGAGTGGAATGCAAATGGGAAAGGATGAGTTTGGCGTGTGAGTTGAGTGTGACATTGAGGAGATGGTGTGAGGAAGAAATGAGAGGTTGTTGGTTAGTGTTGGAGCCAGGTTGAGTAGACTGGAGAGAAGAGAGTGGAATAGAGACGTGGTAGTGAATCCCTATGTTACACTAGACACCCAAAGGACAAATAATAATCTAATACCCACCCTCTTTTCTGGTTTACTGATTGAGCTTTCTTCTTTTGCTAGTGTTCTTTATGCTTGTCTATGTTTTTTAGTCAACAATCCTTCAGCAGAATACTATGCAGTGTTGGTATTTATGGATTAATGTTATTTTGAATCTGAGCGGTTCATCCTCCGCTGATGAATATTAAGCTTTCGATTTGCACGTTTTTTTGAGTCAGTTAATATTATTTTTAATTCACGGAATTTAGGACTGAGTGATGAAATCGCTAATTGAAACTAATTTGGTTTTACGCTGGAAACATTATGAACATACCGATTGCTGTCTAAAGAGAATTTTCTTTACGCTTTGATTTTCTAATGGCTTTTCTTAGCTCTAGTTTAGGAGATTTAATGTACATAATCAAGAAAACTACAGATTGATTCTTGCAGTAAATCATAGTTGGTAAATTACCTTAGTGATAAATTTCTTCTGAAATCGAAGATGGACATCATTTCATTAACAATTTGTCATTTTCTTGTTTTAGAGCTAGGATAAATCCTGTCACGACGTAAAGACTTTCCATAAAATTCGGATATCGTTCGTTTTGTATACATTCATTCATAAGTTCCACAGATATTTACCATTTCATCACTTGGTTATCACAGACCAAACAATTCACCATGACTGGTTTATGTTTTATGCATGAGCAAAATTATGCATTTTGGAGTAAAGTATGATGAGAGCTAATTGAAAGGAATAGTTATTCGCACTTATATGTACACTTCACGTGATAGAAAAACTTGATCGTTTAGCTTCGATGACTCCAAAGCACTAAGAAGACTAAATAGTTACATGGTTACCCTCTTGTAACCGATTCGTGCAAAGAATATACTGTCTAAATAGTTTAGTTGGTAAGTCTCGGACTTCATCACTTAGTGATACATATTGGAATCACCGAGAGAACGGTAGTTTCCTCATAGTTGCAGATGTGACCCGGCGATGAGTTTTGGTTTGCTGCCTTTTGCGTTGCCGAATGAGCATGTTTGCTTTTCATATAAGATTTTTGATTTGATACATAGTACAAAGTGGTACAGTATTATTACCTACTTGACGACGTTTCCAGCATATGCTAGGGTTCATAGTCATTTCAGAAAGATCCCACAACTATCGACATGCAGATTTTATAGTCTTATCAGCTCGTGCTGTGTGATTACTTTGATGTGATTACCAGAAATAATTTGTGCTCGTAATATCACCAAGTACCAAATACTGCATCATCGTGTGCTGTATGAAACAAACAGTCTAATATGGAATTACATCCTACTATAGTGCCCAAGTTTCACACTTATACGTTTATCTTTATGAACTGTTATTGTTTTATATATTACGTGACTGCGTAGATATGTTGTAGAGAGCCAGATAATCAGACGAAGTGATTCACGGTTTAAAGGATTAATTTCACGTATGTAATTAAAATAAATTGATATTTGGTGATTCATTATTCTACCTAATTATTCATTTCCAATAGGCTAAAGATACAGGAACATATCAGTGTATAGCAGCCAACCCAGTGGGTGAAGACCTTGGTGAACTGCGTTTGGTTGTTGAAAGTAAGTCAGATAATAATGTTATTCGAGCATTTATTTTCCTAAAAATACGACAAAGACAGAACAACAGGCATCAAATGACTGTCAAAGTTTATTCACCTCTTGTAAACATTTGATGGTCATTGTGAATCATAAAGGCTGTAAGCCTGAAAATAAGATAATGAGCTATGTAGTTAACTATTTAGGGCAACAAATTATTAGGCTACTCTTATACTGACTGAAGAAAGGGGAATACAAACATCAGATTATCATGACTGTTGCACTATTTGATTTATTTTAAACCTTATTTTACATACAACTTATTTTTTAGTGGCAATGATCCCTCACTTAGTTTGATGTGGTTTATGGTTCTGAAATAAGTGTCATTTTAAAGAAACCGATAATTGTGCTTCACCTAGTTTTTTCTGCATCCGATAGTCTGCTTTATTGTTTGGTACTTGTAATTTCCTGTTGCCATACTGGGCTGGAATGCTCAACCTCTGTTGACAGTTAGGCTCTATAGGGGGGCATCGACACTGTTAGACTGTCAGGGTATTGTATTTTTGTTGGTAACCAACAGTGGAATCCAGAAAGCGCGTTTCGTCCTACTTGGGAGTCGTTGGCAGGATCTGCTAGTAACCCAGTGAGACTGGAACCTCGTACCCATCGCTTCAAACGCCAAAGTGTTATCCACTAGGCCACTGGGCCCGATAGCCACCTTTTGTGCAACGTCGTTTGATATTCGTGCAACAGGTGGCTGTAGTACGACAGTGGCCTAATGGATAACGCTTTGGCATTTGAAGTGATGCGTTCGAGGTTCGAGTCTTAGTGGGAACAACGTCACTCACTGAGGTATTACAGGGACGTCCCAAACGGGAAGAAACGCACGTCCTGGGTTCCACTTTTGGTCACCAACGTGAATACAAAGTCTGCTTCACTTCTATGGACTGTAATACTATGCGAGCATATATCACTTCTGGATTTTTCGGCTTCAGGACAATCAAAACATTTTAGGAAACATGTGAAATTCACATCAAGTAAATGATAATATGCACTGGAATATCTTGCAAAGTCATTTATTATTGCATTAAATATAACCGGAAATTTTTTTGGGGTTGAAAATACGATTAGTGGCTCAAGGTCCTAGTTTGCTCAATGAAAATAAGTAGTTATACGATCAACAAAGTAACTGAATTGTTATTTTCCAGAGAAACATATGTGACTAAATTTACGTAGCGTATAGCTGGTTTCATAAGCCATAAATAGTACTTCGAAAAATCCGGGGTGCAAACCAGTGGGTTTACTGTCCCCTTTTGGCATTTTGAATACATTATTTACTGCTGATATACGATAAAAATGAATATGGTAGCTGTCGAACATGATTTATAAAATACATAAATATTACAGTTTGTAACCAGCACTTTCTTAAAGTGGCTGTTCACCCCTTTTGATTGTTGATATTGGATAACTGTTAATATTTGTTACTTTTTCAGGTAAACCTTATCTTGTTACATATCCGAATAATATGACAGCTCAAGTCGGAAGTGTAGTCACAATGGAATGCATGGCAGAAGGTCAACCTAAACCAGTTATAACGTGGTATAAAGACAAGCAAAGCGTACCACTCCACGGACATCGTTCAGTTGTTAATAATGGTTCTTTAAGGTAAGTGGTAGTGAAAGCAGATAACGGACATTTGCCTATTACTATGAAGGTTGCGTTACTGAATGTAATCTGAACTCATCTCTTTTTGGATTTCAGTATTTTTTTGGTTACTAGTAAATTATTTGAATTCTTTTAGCAAATTGTTTTATTTAGACTAAAAATATCGATGAAAATTGGTACTAAGGTATAAACATACTGTTAATAACTAATATATTGGTAGAATTCAGGCGTTGTGGTTGAACGTTATTCAGTTATAGTTTTTTTTATGACTTATATCACAAGTTAATGGAATATTATTGTTCACAATGAAATGACTATCTTAATTAAGCAGCTCTATAGTTAACTGCTGACAACATAATTAACTCAAAGTTCACAAGGTAAACTACTGACAATGCTAATCTCATCAGAGCTAACAGTTACCGCTAGTGAGAAGACGCATTTAAATAATTACTTTATCGGAGAAGGCGAATTTCTGGGCTTTCTTCCGACTGCGTCTAACGGTATACAAAAGAAACCTTCGGAACACATAACTAAATTCTGACTGTAAATCAGATGTGATGGTGAATACAGACTTTGGTAGAATTTAAAGGAACGCTAAACGTCTTGACGATGAATTTTCTCAATCTCGTTCCTCTGATTCATAGTGATATAATGTAAATGTTTACATAATTTTATTTGTAAAACGAAAGCTGCTCATAACACAACCTCTGAAAATCCTAGTAGTTAGTACGAGTGTGAGAATTGATGCAACTCCCAGATTTCTCATAGATAGAAATTTGTTTTGATTTAAATCAAACACTAAAGCTAGCCTTATCAACTATCAAATGCATATATACCAAGGCGTGTCGTGGATATTTAGCCACTACCCTTATACTTTTTACGTCACAGTTTTCGAATCCACTTCATCTACTAAACACGGGAGTATTACAGTAACCAGCTTTCAAACACCTCAGGTCATGGCTTGCAAGCCAGTGTATGAACCTATACACAGTCATTAATTTATGTCATTTTCTACTCAGTAGAAAGCAACAAACCTTACGCCAAATGCTGATATACATGGTGAGAAGCCTTTTTGGCATATCGTTTCTCAGCTTTTGGTCTACTTGTGTAACTGTTTCAGATACGTTAGGCATGATCGCTGACAGTTTTATGGTCATAATTCTCACCTATCTGTTCGTTCTACTACACATTTTAGAATTGTTGGTGTTTCATCAGACGATGATGGTCTGTACCATTGTGTGGCTTCTTCAAGTTTGGGTGAAGATTTCTCACCTCCTGCATTGTTACAAGTTCAGTTAGATGGCCAGTGGTCAAGCTGGTCTTCTTGGTCAGAATGTAGTCAGACATGTGGGCACGGAACACAATCAAAGTAGGTTTAATTTGAAGTTAAGTATTACGTAGCTTTTTTTACAACATTCGCGGTATATACTTTTCTTAATGAATTGGTTTATTGGGTTGATTTAAACTTTTTTCAATAACAAAAACCTGTTGGAGATTTGTGTTTATGTTTAAAGCTATTCAGAAGAGTCCCTCTAATTAGTGCAGTAGGTGACTGACGAGGTTAGATCATTAGGCATTCGTAGTAATAGAGTCACATTCTTAGAAAACTCATAATTTCAAGTCCCACTGTGACATCAAAGCACAAGATATTTACCGAAGAGAACTCTTTCCGACGAATCCATTCTCCAGATGTACATTTGTATATATAAGACACTTAAAGGCTGCGACATATGAGGAAAGATACATTTAAACAATAGGAGATTGAAATAACGATAATAATGGTCGTAAATACAAGATTGCTGGCTGATGAAGTCATGGTTGAATGGCAACAAAATCTTATGGGACCCCTTTTGTTATCACTCACCCACCACGTCACCAACTAACAACACTGTTATAAACACCATAACCACCATTTCTGCTATTTCAGTCTCACATTACTCGAATTTGATCTTCCTCAGAGATTGCAATCACTGAATATCGTATTTATAGGAATGTAGAACTTGAGAATAAATTTGTTGAAAACAGTCCTTTTTCTCTGAGTATCTTGTCTTTGATATTCTATTTAACTGCATGTATTAATCTCGTCTCAATCATTTTATTGTTGATAGATATGAAAACCTAGATCTTAATATAGGAGTAGAACTTGAACACTGTGGTAAACTGTAGTTCCATTTCAGTCTGTTTATTAGAAATGTCACAGTGAAACAGTATCATCTACTGGACAACATTTCGTGCATAATTTATTGACCCTATTCGGTGTTAGTAGAAGCAGATTTCCCACTATCGAATCAAGTTAGTCTTAAAGTGGTTACTGCTCCCACTCGCCATTCTTGTGAAAGGGATGACAAAATCTTGAATCAATATTTACCATGAGCCTATCAATAAAGGCAATAGCTGCATCAATAAAAGACTGTCAGAGAGTTTTCACAGCATGACACCAGTTGAAAAAGCATGGAGAGCCAGCTGATGTCAATTTACATAATTTCCTTACTGTTTAATACTTTCTTTCAGGTTTCTATAATGTCAACTCGATTGTCGCAGAAATATGTTAGTTTCTCAAAAACACTTAGAAAGTAAAAGACTAAACTGAGCTCTTTACATAAAATGTTATGTAGTGAGACTGTTTCAAAACTTCATTGCTGAAGGCAGTCACAGTATGGGATTGTGAGTCCTTAAACGTTTTTAAATTTGATATTGAGTTCACAAATCAGCCGCACAACTTATTTTTGCAAAAATATCTCCTTATGTTTATACAGAACTCGAACATGTACAGATCCAGCTCCAAAGTACGGCGGAGCTCATTGTTTTGGAGAAACTACTGAAATTCGTGCATGTTTAGTATCATTTTGTCCAACGGATGGTGAGTGGGGCAGCTGGACACCATGGTCAGCCTGTACAGCTACATGTGGTGCAGGTTTATCCCAAAGAAGAAGACGTTGTGACAGTCCGCCACCAAGTAATGGTGGAAGGGTAAGTGATAGTGTTTGCTGCGTTATATATATATATATATATATATATATATATATATATATATATATATCTTTTATAGGAAATAAATTTCATTTGTATTCCTAAAAACGCACGGTTTCGTCTGCATTAAAGTATCCTAGAGAGAAAAAGTAACAAAACTGTAAAATGAACTTCAGAACCTGTGTGTATAGGTGAGCAACAAACAGATATGGGATGACATGACAGTTAAAAGTTAAAGCGTTATTATTAAAGGGTAATACTTCACTACTGTGGTAGGCTTTAAGTTGTGTCAGATGAAATTTCGTAATATCTTTTTCTATGGTAGACCTCGCTCGCGTGGCCAACAGATCCCATCAGAAGATAATACCTCTGAATTGATTCTGTGCTCGATTTTGGCTCATCCTCAGATTTTCCTTGGGTGACTTACTTCTACTCTGTAGACTGCAGCGTGTAAATAGTGGCAGGATATTTACGACTCTGCTAAATAACCAGCTTTCCTGTCCGATTTTTACACGCTTACCTTTAACGACCACACAAGAAAATATGTCAAAGAAATCGGACACATGTCGACTTTTCATGTGATCCACTTACATTTGCTGTAGTCACATTCCGGTGCAATCAACAGAATCACTTTACCACAAGACAGTGCACTTACTTTAAGCACGAGAATAGTTATTTTGGATCTTATTTCTGATCTCCCCTAAGTCCTTTTGGAATAGATCCACCTAAGAAGTCAAGCGTTCTCTACACTTTAATTTGACCGTACCAGCGCGATACAAAAGCTTGATTATTGCAGTTGTTATGAAAGGTAAGAATAACGGTTGATAGAGAGAAGGATATTTTATTAGGCAAACTGCAGTAAATGCTGATAAAATATTGCAACCTCTTAACAATCATTTATTAAGAGGTTATTCGCACTATTCTTCAAGCCCCACTGTTCTTTGGTTTCTCCTGCTTCACTTTATTTGCCTTCTATATTTTTGGCCAATCTTCCCTGCCTCTTTGACTGGAACATTTATCAGTCGATTGTCTGCTCTTGTGACTTCCGCCGACGATGTTGCACTAAATGCCGCTCTAACACTGCACGAAGCGCACTGTGCACCAGTGTTACCGAGTTAGTGTTCGCAAAACTAATCAATATGATTGGTTGACTCCATTGTTTACTACCGTAATTGTAATTTGTGTGCGTGGAAATCACTTTGAATATAGTCTAGTTAGGTATACACCATTCTTAGAGGTAGAATACGATGGATGCTTTAGCCACGACATGATATAACTAACTTCAAATGACTGAAAAACAAAATGCATAGATATCAAAAGATCGGATTGCCAACCAACCAACTGTGTCTATCTCATAATAGTCAGGAACAGTGCATTATTGAAACTAAATGGCCGCTTAAACAGATAAGATTTGGCTAAGAAGGTAAAACTGTAAACCATTTACCTGACAGCCAATAGTAAAACAAAGGTAGAAAGAAGGTTAGCATGCAACCAATAAATTCTTAGTGATGGATTCAAAGCTGCTTTCCCGTCTAATATAATAGGTGTGATAGAATAAACACAGAGATCTGACAGCTTTATGTCTGAATACAGGAATCTGTCTTAAGTATTGAGTTTTATTTCTTTTTATTTAGCCATGCGTTGGTGAAGCTGTTGAGGATGTGATGTGTGAAGGTTTGCCGCCTTGCCCAGTTGCTGGTAGCTGGTCACCGTGGTCACCGTGGTCAGAATGTTCGTCTACCTGTGGAGTCGGAGGAACCCAAAATCGCAGACGAACATGTGACAACCCACCACCATCAAATGGTGGTAGGTCTTGCCCAGGACAAGAACTCATGGTAAGTTGAAGTAAAACTAAGTCATTATTTTTTTAATTGTTTTGACCCAAATTTCATTATATTAGAGGAAACTACTGCAACAAACAATATCGTGTAACATAATCACAAACCTGTTAGTAATTATCAATGTGTCATATTTAGAACTATCGCGTAAATTTTACCGAAATAAACGGTTAAGCATTTTTTGGTAAGGTATATTACTACCCTGAATTGTGAAGAATTTAGTGATTGAAAGTTTCTTCGAAGTCATTATTATTATAATCAGTCTCTTTTTTAAGGCTGATCTGCCATTTACTTAGGCAACAGTGAGTTGATTGTCTTAAAATTCTTCAAAACAAACTAAATTTTATAGAAGTTTAACATTATTTGTTAATACATCTGACATTGTTCTAATTCCAGTAAGTAACCTGTGAAAAACAAAATGCTTTTGACTGACCATTCAAACATATTTTTTATTCAGTAGGTATTTCCTTCTGGATGATGAAAAAACAGTGAGTATTATATCAATCTTAACTTGTAAAAGTCGTCAAAATAGTTAAGAACTCAGTTTCATGTTATCCTAATATAGGTACGTGCTTGCAATCGCGGTCCATGCCCAGTGAATGGAGGATGGGGAAAATGGAGTCCTTGGTCTCATTGTTCACACAGTTGTGGTGGTGGACAACGTCGGCGTACTCGTATATGTGATAGCCCAGCCCCAGCATACGGAGGTGAAGACTGCCCACCAACAGGTAGTACGGAAACTTCAGAATGTCAGTCCGAACCCTGCCCAAGTATGTCATTCAAATTGAATAAAGTTTTTATCTGTAGATTGATAGGAATAAAACGTAGACATAATTGGATTTCTCAATTGATTTACTGGCAAGAGTCGTGCTTTGAGTTTAACCGACTCCAGTTTAGGGCGTTTTTTCCGCTGATTTAAGTAGTAAATCCTCTTTAAGACACATATAACAGATGGAATTTATGGTCAGTCAATGAAATACACATTGGTCAGTAAAGATAGTTTTCGAGTTAAACCATTTTACAATCTTGACTCGGATCGATTATTTTTTGTGGATTCATCGAAATTTACTACAAACTAATTACCTGGTTATTATTTCATATTTTAATAAAAGTAGCACAGATATCATACAAGACCAAGTAGTAGAAGTAACCCACTCATATTGTAGTGATGTTGATGTATGCTTTGAAACGGTTTTGTGAAACCATAGTGAATTCAGATGAATTTCGGCATTGGGTGACAGTGGAATAACTAATCAATAATCAATAAATTTCAGAAAATTCCCAAAGGTAGCGAAAAGGGTATGGTATAATAGAGGCAAGGCTCATTGTGTCACAGTAGGTAAGTGCACTAGTCTTCTTTACCAGAATAGGTTGGTCACAACCTTAGATATTATATTTGATAGATAGGAAATCAAATGAAACTACCCTTATCCATTCGATTCTATGTCATTGACATCTCACTCTTTGGATGGCATGCAATCGATGATTCCAGTAATACACTTTTCAGGTTTGTGAGGATTCCTCTTGGCTAATACGGACCTTTTAATAAGAAAACAGAAACTGAACACTCATAGTTTATAATTCCACGTTAATTTGATCAGAACAAGAATAATTGAGCGAACAATTATTTCCAATGGCTTTCTCTTCAGGCTCTACATTATAAATCCAAGTGATATACAATATCCGATGTAATGCATAACATAAAAAAATTTCAATATTGAAACACCATGTAAATGTAAATCAAATCAAATGGATGTTAGTTTGTATCATTTATAATGGAAATTAGTCTAGTATGTTAGTTGTACTATGAAGTCGATAAGAACAGAACAGTCACGATACAAGAAGACAAAATCTAGGGGTAATAATTTACTTATATAAATTTACTGGAGGTTTAATGCGTGTACGTTTATTTACTAAGGATCAAATGATCATTATATAGCGATGAGTCATACTCAAGTAGGATGGAAAACCATGAGAATACATTAACGAAATAACTAAAGTGAAGTGTTGTGTAAGGGTTGTGAATGACTAGTGATAATGGTATGAAATAACTAGAACGTACAACTAATAATTATATTTATGACAATTTTGTGCTTGTTTGAGAGAATCAATTCATTTTAAATATTTGAAAATGGATATTTACATTATTATTATTATTATTACTATTATTATTATAAGTCCCTTGGGTTCCTAATGGAACATAGGGCTTCAGTAGCACGTCTCCACTCCACTCTCTTCTCTGAAATCTTTTGAACCTGGCTCCACGACAGCCCACAACCTCTCATTTCCTCCTCGCACCATCTCCTCCATGTCATCCTCGGACGTCCAACTCATCGTTTCCCATCTGGGTTCCACTTGAGGACCTGACCTGGTGCGTGATGTCCACAGTCCGCCTTCTCAGTGTATGCCAATCCGATCCATTTCCATTTCCTTCCAGTGCATATTTGTTGGGTGATAGCTTCTTGGTTGGTTCGTTCCCATCCAAATCTCCTTGTTGCTTATTCTTTTAATTCTGGCCATCAGATCTTCAGTAGCGAGCGTAGGCAGTTGTTGATGAATGTCTGTAGTTTGTTGGAAATGCCTTTCGTAATGCGCCAAGTCTCTCAACCATACAGAAGCACTGACTTGACATTGGTGTTGAGAATGCGGATGTTGTTCACGCTTTATGCTGAGTGCAGAAGATCTCCACATTGGTTTCAGGCTAATAAACGCCTGTCTTGCTTTTCCGATTCTGACTTTAACATCCTCGTCTGTGCCACCTGTAGTTGAGACAGTGCTGCCTAGATAGGTGAAGGAGGTTACTTCCTTTAAGTTTCTCCCGTTCATGGTGATTGGAGCTTCTTGTTGTTGTTGTTTGGTTATCTTCATCACCTCAATGACGAATTAAAACCAAGTTAATATCTGCGTATGAACAATCGACCAGGCTTGAATTCGGAGGCATTTTGGCTAAGCATACGACAAATCATTTTACTTTCTGTCATCACCTCTTCACACCAAACTTGGCCCAGTAGCCAAGACTATCTCATTTAGTCAAAAACAGAAAGATATGAAGGATATGATATATGTTGGTGGTGTTGTTGGTTGGGTATCTTCATCACCTCTGTCTTCTCTATATTCACTTGAAGTCCCGTCTTCGCTGCCTGGCCCATCTCTTTTGTCAACTTGTTAGTTTTCGCCTGTAGTTTGTGTGACATGAGACATAAGTCATAAGCGAAATCTAAATCTTCTAGGTTCTTTTCCGCAGTCCAGAGTATCCCCCTCTTCTAGCTCCCCACTGTTTGTTGCATGATCCAGTCGACTACAATCAGCAATATCATGGAGGATAGTAGGCAACCCTGTTTCACTCCTCCCTGTCTTCACTTCAAAAGCATCACTGAGCTTCCCATTGTGAATTACTTGGCTGGCATGTGGCGTCTTCATATAGTTGTTGAATGAGGCTGATAAAGGTTGCTGTATTCCGTAGTGTTGAAGCCGTTTCCAAATTACTTGTTGGTCGGCGCTGTCGAAGGCCTTCTCAAAGTCGACGAGGTTGAGGTACAGGGTTGACTGCCATTCTATACTCTGTTCTATGATGATGCGTAGCGTTGTGTTGCAATTTGGTCCGTACATGATTTGGACTTCCTGAAGCCAGCTGCCTATTCCGGTCGTAGTTTTGAATACAGTACATCCTTCAGCCTCTCCAGGATGATGTGGCTGAATATTTTGCCTACTTTGGGTGGACAGAGACTGGAGCATGATTCGTCGCCAGTTCTTGCAAAGACTTAGGTCGCCATTCTTCGGGGAGTTTGACAAGGTAACCCTTCTTCCAATCACTAGCCAGGTACCCTCCCTTCCTTCCACACTTTTGCAATAGTGATGTGAGCATGTCCACTGTTGTCTCTGCGTCTGCTCTCAGTGCTTCTGGAGGAATTCCATCTGGTCCTTCTGTCTTCCAGCATTTCTGTAGCTTTTTGGCGTTCGGGACTTCTGCTTTTGTTGGAGGATTTGTGTTAACTGGTAGTTCTGTGACTGCAGGTGGTATTTCTATACGAAGTGCAGGTGGTGGTGGTGGTCGATTCAAGAGCTTTTTGAAGTGGTCAGTCCATCGTTTCCTTTGTTTCTCTTCTTTGGTAATTTGATTTCCTTCATTATATGTTATTGGTTTCACGTGTGTTGATCTCTTCCCTCCCAGATAGTAACTTGGTTATTTGATACAATGTTGTCAGATCTCTCTCTATCTCTCCTACCTGCAGCCTGTTCTGCTTCACTTGCAAGTGGATCGCAGAAGTGTCTTTTGTCTTTTCTCTCTCACTCTTCTTCACTTCTTTGTCCAGTGTGGTGTTTTGTACATTGTACTCAGTTCCTCTTGTCTTTGAGCATCCTTGCACTGATTTATCTTCTGTTTCACCATCCCCCTCTCCTCTATCAGCTTTCATGTATCCATTGAGATCTATTCCTTATCTTCTTTCTTCTTCCTTCCTAATACGGTTGTTCAGGTTTCTTTCTACATAGCTTCCAAAGACTTCCAGTGTTCATCCACACAGGTTTCTTCAGGGATGTCTCTCGGTATCTCCCATTTTGTCTTGATGGATGTCGTGAAGATTTCCTTTGTAGTTTCGTCCCTCAGTTTCTGTTCTGGGTGTTGTACTTGAACTGTGGTCTATCACCAGCTTCCTTCAAGGCTTTCAACTTGATTTGAAGGAGAGTTCCTTGCACTAGATAGTGGTCTGAACCTACATGTGCTCCTCTTCTTGACCTTGTGTCAAGTAGACTGCATCTCCATTTTCTTCACATTGAGATGAAGTCGATCTGATTTTGAGTGTATCCATCTGGTGTCTGGTGAAATCCAAACGATGTCGCTTTATGGATATCCTTGTGCTTGAACACACTACCTCCAATCACCAAATCGTTGAATGCACAGAATTCTGCAAACAATTCTCCCTTCTCTTTCATCACCTCACCGGGCGCTTCTCAACCCATGGTTAGTTCTCTTCCGTGTTGTGTTGTCCCCTCCCAGTTTGGCATTCATGTTGCCCCACCCATTAGAATTTTGATATCGCCAACTGAGGTGGTGTCTTGTCCAGTGTTGATTGAAGTTGTCTGTAGAAATCCTCCTTTTTCTCTTGCTCTGCATTATTTGTAGGTGCATAGTGTAGCATTGTATGATTGTGACCTTCCTTTCTTTTGAGTTGAATCCATCTTGCTGTCATGATCCTGATTCTGGAGGAGATTGGTTCCCACTGCATGAGAGAAAGCCTTCGATGCTGTTGGGGACATCATGATAGCCACTCCATAACTCAGTGTGCTTGTGGTTGTCGTCTGGTTGACAATATCGGAGTAGATTATTGATTCTCCAGTTGATAGTTTGGAGAGTCCACTCCCATTCCATCTGCTTTCGCAAATCCCAAGCACTTCGATGTGATACCTTCTCATCTCGTTTGCAATCTGAGCTGCCTTGCTGGGTTCAAACATGGTGCGGACATTCCATGTCCCCACGTTTACTTTCGCTTTCATCGAGAGGAGAGAAGACACATCGGCCAATTGGCTTTCCGAAGTCAGGCTTTCACCAACTGGAGTCATTTCGCCTCTCCGATTCCAGCGAGGAATAGTTATGTTTTTATTTTTTATATTTTGTTTGTGCTGTAAAGTTTCTTTAGCGGTTAGATTTGTTTTACAGGGTAGGGTTGCTAGCCCTATCCCAACCTTCCCTCTTTACCCGGGCTTAGGACCGGCTAGTAACTAGTGAACTAGTTAACCAGGCGACTTTGCATATTTACATAATGTTGTACAATCAAGTTTACATAATATGTTTAAACGATCATTACAAATATAATAATAGTAAAACTAATAACATATGAAAATGAATGTTTATCACTCTGGATGTTTTCATCTGTGACAAAAAATGCCTGTTCAACCGAAATCAAGAAACCTAATTGTTTTCTTCAGTAGTTGGTAGGGTGGTACTTATAGTCACTTGAGCAGCTTATAAAGGTATTTTAGGTTTAAGGCTGAGAGTGGAAAGCGAAAACTTAGGAAAAGCGTATCCTGAATCCTGCACCATAAAACCAATTTTTGTGTGAACTATTTTTATGTCATGTATTTATTTAATGAAGTGTGTTCGAAGCTGTACATTTTGTGGATCAACAAGTAACATAAAGTTACCGTTACTACATTCTGTTTTGTTTGTAGTTCACGGAGATTGGTCAAATTGGTCATCATGGTCAGCTTGTTCACGTACCTGTGGGGTTGGATTACAGAATAGAGAACGTGAATGTACACAACCTCAGCCTCAGTTTGGTGGACGTTTGTGTCGAGGATCAGCGAAAGAAATCAGGACATGTGAGGTACTAAAACGGGGCAGTTCAGGTTTCTGTCCAGATTCAGAGCAAACACGAATTCCTACTTGGTCAGAGTGGTCTTCGTGGTCAGACTGTGAACCAGACTGCTCTTCTAATGATCAGGTACCAGACGTAGGTGGAATAAAACGACGTGAACGAACATGCACAATTTTATTAGCTGAAAATGATTTAACTGGAAGTAGTTCAGTCCTACCATCTCATGGATGTCCAGGTCCAACAGAAGAACTTCAGGACTGTACACTTGAATACGGTGCACAAAGATGTCAGCGTGAGTTATCATAATGTTTAAAAAAGACGTTTTGTGCAAATTGATTGTCATATGCATTTACTTCCGAACAGAAATATCATTTCCTGTTGCAAAACAACTGGTTTTGCTGGATTCGCTTATTAGGGCAGCATATATCTACGAAAAGAAATATTTATTGATAAACTATATAGTTTCAATGCAATGTAAATACTCAGGCATGAATTTGGATAATCTTCACCTGAAATGCAACCTTACAGCCTATCAATAACATGACCGGCAAAGAAAACAGCGTAGCAAATTATATTCCTACAATATGACCCTAGGGTGCCTAGTGGAACATAGGGATTCACTACACGTCTCTATTCCACTCTCTTCTCTCCAGTCTACTCAACCTGGCTTCACCACTACCAACAACCTCTCATTTCTTCCTCACACCACCCCCTCAATGTCACACTCAACTCACACGCCAAACTCATCCTTTCCCATTCGCATTCCACTCGACGGACTGGTCTGGCACGTGATATCCTCTATCTGTCTTCTCAGTGTATGTCCAATTCAATCCATCTCCACTTTCTTCTGCATATTTGTTGGGCGATAGGTTCATGGTTGGCTGGTTGCTTCGTTGCCAGCTTGTAAGGCAGCCAGTCAGCCAGCCAGCCAACCAGCCAGAGTGAGTTGCTTGTTCCTCATTCTCATTATTCTGGCTATCCATCTCATCTCCATCTTCAGTGTCAGTATCGAGTGAGCAGAGCGTAGGCGGCAGCTGTTGATGATGATGATGATGATGATGATGAATGTCTGTAGTTTGTTGGGAATGCTTTTCATAATCGCCAAGTTTCTGAACCATCACATGGAAGTACTGAATTGCTTGATTGACTGAATTAGTGTTGAAAATCTGGATCTTGTGCACGTGTTTTGCTGAGTGGGTTGGAGTGCAGTGGAGTGCAGTAGATCTCCACACTGATTATTTCAGATAAGTGAATACCTGTTTTGCTGTCTTTCCGATCCTGGCTCTGATGTCCTCATCTGTACCATTGCCACTGCCACTGTCACCGTCACCACCATCGTCACCGTCACCGCCACCGGCACCACCGGCTGTAGTTGAAAAGATGCTGCCTCGCCTAGGTAGGTGGGAGCGACAACTCCCTTTAGATTTCTCTCATTCATCGTGCTCGTTCATGTTGTTCTTGTTGTGTTATTGTGTTGTTTTTGTTGTTTTTGTTAAGTATCTTCATCACCTCTACGTTCCCCACGTTCACCTGCAGTCAGTCGAGTCTTCGTTGGCCTGCCCTTTCTGTCAACTTGTTGGTTCTCGCGTGTAGAATTTCGATTATGTGCGATGAGACGTTGGACATAAGTCATCATCATCATCATCCTGATCATCGGCGAAATCCAAATCTTCTTCTTGGGTCTTTTCGGAGGTCCAGTCAGCGTATGCCCATCTCCTCACAACTCCTCACATTTGTATCTTGCATCATCCAGTCCAATCCAAACCACTCAAGTCCAGTCGCGTCGCGTTGCATCGAGTGGAGTGAAGTAGAGTGAAGTGGAATGGAGTGGAGTGGAGTGAAGTGGAGTGGAGTGAAGTGGAGTGGAGTGGAGTGGAGTGGAGTGGAGTGGAGTCGACCACAATCAGGAAGATGATCGGTGATAGTGGGTGGGGGCCACCTTGACCTACTCCTCTCTCCTGTCTTCTCTTCAAGTCTATCACTGAGTTTTGCATTATGAATCACATGGCATGTCGTGTCTTCCTTCATGCAGCATACAGCTGCTGTTGAATGAGGTTGGTAAAGGTTTGTGGCACTACCTAAAAGCGTGGTGTTGAATCAGCTGCCTGTGAAACTAGTTCTCGTTGGACGCCTCAGTCGAAGGCCTTTTCGAAGTCGATGAAATTGAGATTAAGGTTGAGGTTGACTTGAGTTGAGTTGACTGGCATTCTACGCTCTGTTCTATGATGATGTGTAGCGTTGCGTTGCTTTGCTTTGCAATCTGATCCGCACATGATTTGCACTTCCTGAAACCATCCATCCATCCAGCCAACCAGCCAACCAACCAACCAACCAACTTGTTCCGGTCGTAGTTTTGAATCCAGTGCATCACTTCACTTTCTCCAATATGACGAGGCTTAATAGTTTGCTTACTTTGAGTGGACAGAGACAGCAGATTGATTTCATGCTACTTCTTGCAAAGACTCAGACTAGGTCTCCCTTGTTTGGCAGTTTGACAAGTTAGACATTCTTCGAATCAATCGGCAGGTACCTCACCTTCCTTCATTGCAAACCCTCTGCAATAGTGGTGTGGTGTTGGCATGTCCACTGCTGTTGTCTCTGTGTCTGTTTTCAGTGCTTGTTGAGGAATTTCATCTGGTCACATTGCATTCCCTGATTTCAGCCTGTTCATGGCGTTCAGGACTTCACTTCTGCATTTGACGGAGAGCTTGTGTTCACTGGTAGCTCTGTGGTTGCTGGTGATATTTGTGGATGTGTTGAATGTGGTGATGGTGATGGTGGTTACGATGATGGTGGTTATGATGATGGTGGTGTTGGTGTTGGTGGTCGATTCCAGAGTTTTCTGAAGTGGTCAGCCCATCGTTGACTTTCTTTCTCCTCTTTGGTGATAACTAGGTTTCCTTCACTTCCTCTCATTGCTTTCATCTGTGTTGATCTCTTCCCTTCCAGATGGTATCCTGGTTATTTGATAAGATGTTGTCAGATCTCTCTCCATCTCTCCTACCAGCAGGCTGTTCTGCTTCACCTACAAGTGTATTGTGGAAGTGTCCATTGTCTTTGTGCACACTCCTCTTCACTTCTTTGTGGAGTATAGTGTGTTGCTGTGCTGTGTTCACTTCGTCTTTCATTGTTCATCCGTTCACTGCACTGCACTGCACTGCTCTGCACTGCACTGCACTGCACTTCACTTCACTTCTCTCTTCCATCTTCTGCCTCACCATCGTCCTCGCCCTCTTCCTCTCCCTCTCCCTCTCCCTCTCCCTCTCCCTCCTCTATCAGCTTCCATGTAGAGATCCGTTGAGATCCATTCCTTGTCCTGTCCTGTCTTGCTTCTTCTTCCTTCCTAACACCACGGTTATGCATGTTTCCTTCCACATCTCTTGCAAACAGTTCCAGTGTTCTTCCACTCAACTTTCTTCTAGGATGTTGCTCAATGTCTCCCATTTCGTTCTGATAACTGACCGACTGACTGACTGACTGACTGAATGACGTGAAGATGTCCTTGCAATTTCGTATTTCAGTTCAGTTCACTACTGTTGATCTGAGTTCAGCTGAGTGGAGTTGAGTTGAGTTTGTGTTCTGGGTGTTCAACCTCAACTATGGTCCATCATCCATCAACAGCTTCTTCCATGCCTTCCAACTTGATTTTGAAGGAGGATTCCTTGCACTGGATAGTGAGTGGTGTGAACCACCACCACCACCACCACCACCACCACCACCACCACCACCACCACCACCACCACCACCACCACCACCACCACCACCACCACCACCACCACCACCACCACCACCACCACCACCACCAAGTCTGCTCCCCTTCTTCATCTCATCTTGTGTCCAGTAGGCTGCGTCTCCACTCTCCTCACATTGAGATGAAGTCGATCTGACGTTGACTGCATAGTGTATCCACCATCTGATGAAGTCAGATCTGTGTCACTGCCTTGTGAATATGCTTGTGTTTGTACACACTGTCTGACTGCAATCACCAAATCGTTGAATGTGCAGGAGTCTTCAACCAGTTCTGCATTCTCACTCATCATTTCAGTGAGTGCTTCCCGACCCATGCACAGTTCTCTTGTGTTGTGTTATCCGTTGCCAGTTTGGCTGGTATTCATTGCACCCCACTCATTAGAATTTTCATGTCGCCATCTGGACTGGACTGGGATGTGGTGGGGTGGGGTCTTGTCCATTAGTGCTGGTAGTTGTCTGTCTAATTCCTCCTTCTTCTCTTCATGTGCATTATTTGTAGGTGCATAGTGTAGTGTAGCGTAGCATTGTATGATTGTGACTTTGCTTCCTTTTGATTTGAATCCATCTTGCTGTGATTATCGTGATGGTGGAGGAGGAGGAGATTGGTTCCCATTGTGCGAGAGAGAGCTTTTGTTGCTCTTGAGCGGGGGACATCATGATAGCCGCTCGAAAACTCAGTGTGCTGGTTTTAGTCGTCTAGTTGGCCGCTCGGTTTCAAATATGTGAATGTAAATCGTGTGAGTGGTGGTGAAAATTTTCTTTTGGCGAAATTAATTGAGATTGATGCTGGTGACAGCTTTATTTGAATTTACTGGTCGATTTGAGGAAGAAAGTAAAGCATACGTTTCCTTTTGAAACCTTGTATGATAGAAGTGATTACTTTCTGAAAGAACCTTGCCATTCATTCTGCCTTTGTCTCTTTGAAAATCTCTGAAGAGTTCCAAACTCGGATGAAACTTCTGCCAGTGCCCTCATGTTTCCTATGTTCTCTGTGATAATATCCAGCTAGAAACCAATAAACAAGTCCCTACATTTCTCCAGACTGATATACTTCTTAAGTGAATTTTTATATTCACAACAATTATTCGGTACTGTGTTAGCCTATTTTTTTATTTTGTTGAACTTTGTTGATAAGAGGTTGAAGCGGTCTATAGTATGCAATAATTGTAATAATAATCACTTTGTTCCAAACAATTTTCACACAATTTTGAATTCTAGACTTGTATTATTGCGGCAGAGTTGTACTCATTTACAACATTTCCAACAGTATAAAGTAAAGCAATTTAAATTATGTAGATAACACTGGTGATGAGGGAAGTTAAACATGGATATTTGGGATATTGAAAAGACTGATCATTTTGTGTTACACGGTTGGTAAATGAGTTCTGACCTAACATTATTTTGTTCACTAACTTCTTCTTCAGGCTCTACAGTTGTAAATCCACGACAATATGTGAAATACAATAGGCAATGCAAGGCATGATGTACAATTTTACCATATTGAAACAGTGTTATGGTGAATAGAGATCAATTTGATTGAATGGTGGAACTGTTGTCAGTTTAGTTTGTTAGTTGTGCAATGAAACCATATTGACAGAAATCTACAGATAATGATTCATTTACTGGGGCATGAATGTGTGTGTTTGTTTACTAAGGGTCAAGTAATAATTATGTAGTGTTGAGTTATATTCAGGTGGGATGAAAATCATGTGAATACTATAACGAAATGGAGAATAACAAATGTAAAGTGTTACATCACTGTTGGAAATGACTACCGTCAGTGGTATGAACAAGGATGTAAAACTAATGAATGTTTATCAATGTAATGACAATATAGAAGAAATGGATGAGAGGTTAAAATGTGCACTTTGTGGTAGGGAGGTTCATAGAGAATGTGTCAACCCTGTTGTGGGCCGGGGTAAACAAAGTGGATTTACATATTTCTTTCTTGAGTTGATCCTTATGGCTTCGGCAGTAGGTAAGATGCGAAGTCGTGCACCTTTAGGGAGATTCCAAGGGACACGGTATATCATAGAAAGGGCGTGATCTACCTTAATCTGATGTTTGGTATCTACTAGGTATGAGTGGATTGCACTGTCGATACTCTTTGTCATTCCTTTCCTTAACCGAGATGCTACATGTTCACAAGCGCGCGTGGATATAACCGTTTGAGTAAGGCCAATGCAACTAGCTCCACAGGAATAGTTGAGCTCGTAAATGCACATTGACGTGGCCATCATAGATAACCTAGCTTTGGTTCTGTGTCAGTAATGGTTTGGTTGAGAAGCTGACAAAACGTTTGGCTACACTGAAGGTCCTTTTGACGAACCTACTTAATCGATGTGTTAAGATATCCACGACAATATTACCTTTGAAACTTAGTCTAAGATATGTAGACTTCTTAGCAACATTGTCTTTCTTCATCTTCTCTCTATGTTTCGACATGTGTCTATTTATGAAGTTTAGCGGATAACCATTTTGGTGTAATTTTATATTCAGCTTATTCATTTCTTCTTCAATACAATCATCAGAACAAATGTTTTTTTATTCTATAACTCAGACTTGTGACCAGGTTCCTTTTATACTGATAGTATATCGTACGATAATAAATAAGGAATAGAATAGATTAATTATGATGATCCAGCCAAATATCCATATTTGATTTTGATACTCAGCTATTAAATTATCGATATTTACACAATAAAGTTATCGTTCTACACAATCCTTACTCGGTTAGCTGAAATCGTAACAAGTATTTCGTTTTACAAAAGCAACAAACGTTTTTCATTATTTATGATTGATGGAATCTATTCAATAACGATTTTGAGTTCATCATCTTTTGCAGTTGAAAGGATAAACATCTCATGTATACTGTCAAGTTGACTGGTATTTCAATGAAAAAGTAACCAAACATACAAGTGACAAAGTAAAATAGTTCACAAAAGTACCTTAAATTCCTGTTTATCATCTAAATAGTATATAACCTACGAAAATGACCGTTTATGAATGCTGGTTTTTATCCCTTTAGCTGTGTAAATCATGTGTGAAAATCATTTAAAAGTTGACTTTCTTGTGTGTATAATTCTTCAGTGCTTAAAAATCACTATGAAAATTTATCTTACTCACTTATCATTTCGTTTATACTATATTTTTGTATGATTACATAACTGCCTCTACTTCTAACCTTATTTCAGTGGTTAACATTCCTCAGGTTGCTTCACATAACATAATTTGACTGAATTCCTTTCTTCCATCTGTTTCGTCTCCTGAATTGTAATTTTTTATGATCTTCAAAGCAATGGTTGTTGTCTTGAAATAAAGTGCAAATAGGGTGCATTAGCATTCGTTGTTGTGATCAATTCAAGTTATATGGGATCAATGAAAATCCTACAAAATGAACTGAAGTTATCTTATTCAGTAAATAATTTTCTTATTTAGTTGATGAAGTTCACTAAAAGAACTAAGTGCATGAAATATTCCTTTCATTGAATATCCTTTGCTTTCAATGCAACTTATGATCATCTTAATTTTTTATTATGTATAGACACTTTACTCGGTGTCAACAAGGGAATGCTAACAGGAACCATTCGAGGTCAACTGAACAATCAAGATTTAGGAACAATACGTCTAAATGCTAGTTGGTCTAATTTTGGTCCAAATCGTCCTACTAGCTATGAATTTTATCTGTACAATGTACCAGCAGAACGTAGTCAGTGTTTGCAGGCTTTAACTGAAATTTACCTACCGGGTATTTGGTATGCGGCACAAGAAGTAAGTTAATAATTCGGGAAAAATACCTTGACAAGTTTGTTGAATTTAGATATTCCCGTGTTACAGTACGGCATATTTAAAAAAGATGTAATAATATACGTCTCAGAAAGTGAATTATCTCCAGTTGTAAGCTTGTATGAAATTCATTTTCATTCAAAGGATAAATATTATTAATACTAGGCGACGATTGAATATGAAATGAAAATATGGGTCGTGGCGGGATTTGGACCACTGACCTAGAGGTTACCGAGCCGGTGCTCCACCAACTGAGCTACTAGACCAAACTGCTGACAAGATCTTAATTTTACTTCAGTCAGTAATGGTTGTGCCCGAGTGCTATGCAAATTTGTGTTGCTTAACCATTCGTTCATAGTATTCATACTGGCTACCCAACCAGGACTTCTCATCCTAATCCAAATGCAACTGAACTAAAGAGGAGGAGAATGATATTGGTTATTAGTATCAGTACTGCAAGTCTACCAAACCATGGGTATCTCAGTTAGTCACACTGATAATAAACATTAATAAGACATTTCATAGCAGCATATAAATTAATAGGTCATAACGATTCTATTTTGTGGTCACTTTACTTCAAAGTGAAATGATCTGGTAACCAGAACAAAAAAAATGAAGTAACCTTTATTAAATATTTTATATAATATGGTCTTCACAGACAAACGTTTTTGAGACCAGTACTCATTGCCGTTTTCAAAAAGGATCAAAAAAAACGTATTTCCTGTTAAGATTTCTTGAATACTGACAAAGTGGATGTTATGTCAGACTAATTTACGAACTATAAATATCATGCACCAGCGTTGTGTAACTGCACTACTAAAAGCATTTACAAAAACGCTATGTGCGGTGAATATATTTCTAAATATATTTTATTGCGCACCTGACTTCTAAGCTGTTTGGCTTCAGTACTCAGATACCAGGTGGAATTTTTTTTCCCATGCAGTCTGTATTTTTGTGGTAAACAAGGCTTATTGAAGGACTGGTAACACTAGACAGGATAGGTATTTACTCTACGTACAGATAAAATATTAAAAACTCGAACTAAACCCATTTTATGCAAAAACGATACGGGTTTACGTTTGAACTGACTGTTCATCAGTTTCTGTCACCGTTTAGCTTGTCTTCCAACTTCCTTTATATGAATCTCCTTTCTTCCTCAAAAACTCCAGTAGAATGACCTTCAGATCTCACTTTAATCAACTCTAGATGGTAAGACTATAGAAATTTTACTATGAGCTTCCATGATTTAAAGAATACGAGGAAATTCTAAAGCGCTATTGACGTTGATTTTCACGAACTTATCCGATGAGGTAATTATGAGTGTGACTGTGTGTCTTTCTGGAGACTTTGAGAAATCTGATTCTTTCTGAATGCTTTCAATAATTTTCATTTTTTTTAAGGAACTAGTGAGAATATATTGGACCTCATTGCACTAACACAGAAAACAAATCTAAATATTACATCAGCCTGACATCAGTCATTTAGCGAATAACTGGTTGGTTTCAGGAACATAAAGACTTTGTGTGTATGTTTATATATATACTCATTTCGCTGAAAGCTCGATATTAATATTATTACTCAGTCAACAGTTTTACCTAAACACATTCATTTCAATTCTGCTAATGTTGTAGGTTTCTGGTGCATCTAATGGTCACACCGTGATGGGTACATCGAGTAGAATAACTTGGGAATCTGTCGGTCAGTTTGCAGATGGAAGTGTACTACAAATGAGTCAACGAGTATTACGAGCAAATGACTCATCTGTAACATCTCTGGGAGATTTTACGGTTCAGTTGACAACTGACATTCATCTGTCTGGATCATGTTCATTTTCTTTAATTGACTCGAAAACAACATCTAACCCAGAAGTTGGATTGCATGATTTCCATGAAAATTTAGTTCAGTTAACTCCTCATAAAGGTAAGTGATATCTTATTGCATTAAAATAATCACTGAGAGATTTAAATATTTTGAAATAGGTTGAAATTCCTTACACACTCTTTTCACTGGAAGGTAGCCGATGTACCTGTGAAGTTCTGCGCTCTAAAATTAAATGGAAGTAAATTGATTGGTTACTGGAGAGCAACCAACCATATGTTGTCTAGTCCTGAGTGCTGGTAGAATTCTTTCGATTATTTCGCAATGTGACCACCAAGTTAATTTGATTGGAGGCAACCCAGAAGGTCATGGATCTAGCTTTCATGTCTCTTGGCACTCGTCGGCAAGGGGTATCTGCAACCTCTAGAGAACTAATGTCCCGTTTGAGATTCAAACCTGCGTCAGAGATGTAGTCAGCGACGTTACCTCTGCGCTATTCAGGCCACAATCGACCGCCTGTAGGACCGGATTAAATACATTGTTATTTAACTGGAGGGCAATCGCTAAGTTAAATAAGGGGATAATGAGATGCGCTGTTTAGTGTTATGTGTTTAGTGTATGTCCAATTCAATCCATCTCCACTTTCTTCTGCATATTTGTTGGGCGATAGTTCTTGGTTGGCTGGTTGCTTCGTTGCCAGCTTGTAAGGCAGCCAGTCAGCCAGCCAGCCAACCAGCCAGAGTGAGTTGCTTGTTCCTCATTCTCATTATTCTGGCTATCCATCTCATCTCCATCTTCAGTGTCAGTATCGAGTGAGCAGAGCGTAGGCGGCAGCTGTTGATGATGATGATGATGATGATGATGAATGTCTGTAGTTTGTTGGGAATGCTTTTCATAATCGCCAAGTTTCTGAACCATCACATGGAAGTACTGAATTGCTTGATTGACTGAATTAGTGTTGAAAATCTGGATCTTGTGCACGTGTTTTGCTGAGTGGGTTGGAGTGCAGTGGAGTGCAGTAGATCTCCACACTGATTATTTCAGATAAGTGAATACCTGTTTTGCTGTCTTTCCGATCCTGGCTCTGATGTCCTCATCTGTACCATTGCCACTGCCACTGTCACCGTCACCACCATCGTCACCGTCACCGCCACCGGCACCACCGGCTGTAGTTGAAAAGATGCTGCCTCGCCTAGGTAGGTGGGAGCGACAACTCCCTTTAGATTTCTCTCATTCATCGTGCTCGTTCATGTTGTTCTTGTTGTGTTGTTGTTATTAAGTATCTTCATCACCTCTATCTTCTCCATGTTCACCTGCAGTCAGTCGAGTCTTCGTTGGCCTGCCCTTTCTGTCAACTTGTTGGTTCTCGCGTGTAGAATTTCGATTATGTGCGATGAGGACGTTGGACATAAGTCATCATCATCATCATCCTGATCATCGGCGAAATCCAAATCTTCTTCTTGGGTCTTTTCGGAGGTCCAGTCAGCGTATGCCCATCTCCTCACAACTCCTCACATTTGTATCTTGCATCATCCAGTCCAATCCAACCCACTCCAGTCGCGCCGCGTTGCATCGAGTGGAGTGGAGTGGAGTGGAGTGGAGTCGACCACAATCAGGAAGATGATCGGTGACAGTGGGTGGGGGCCACCTTGACCTACTCCTCTCTCCTGTCTTCTCTTCAAGTCTATCACTGAGTTTTGCATTATGAATCACATGGCATGTCGTGTCTTCCTTCATGCAGCATACAGCTGCTGTTGAATGAGGTTGGTAAAGGTTTGTGGCACTACCTAAAAGCGTGGTGTTGAATCAGCTGCCTGTGAAACTAGTTCTCGTTGGACGCCTCAGTCGAAGGCCTTTTCGAAGTCGATGAAATTGAGATTAAGGTTGAGGTTGAGTTGACTTGAGTTGAGTTGACTGGCATTCTACGCTCTGTTCTATGATGATGTGTAGCGTTGCGTTGCGTTGCTTTGCTTTGCAATCTGATCCGCACATGATTTGCACTTCCTGAAACCATCCATCCATCCAGCCAACCAGCCAACCAACCAACCAACCAACTTGTTCCGGTCGTAGTTTTGAATCCAGTGCATCACTTCACTTTCTCCAATATGACGAGGCTTAATAGTTTGCTTACTTTGAGTGGACAGAGACAGCAGATTGATTTCATGCTACTTCTTGCAAAGACTCAGACTAGGTCTCCCTTGTTTGGCAGTTTGACAAGTTAGACATTCTTCGAATCAATCGGCAGGTACCTCACCTTCCTTCATTGCAAACCCTCTGCAATAGTGGTGTGGTGTTGGCATGTCCACTGCTGTTGTCTCTGTGTCTGTTTTCAGTGCTTGTTGAGGAATTTCATCTGGTCACATTGCATTCCCTGATTTCAGCCTGTTCATGGCGTTCAGGACTTCACTTCTGCATTTGACGGAGAGCTTGTGTTCACTGGTAGCTCTGTGGTTGCTGGTGATATTTGTGGATGTGTTGAATGTGGTGATGGTGATGGTGGTTACGATGATGGTGGTTATGATGATGGTGGTGTTGGTGTTGGTGGTCGATTCCAGAGTTTTCTGAAGTGGTCAGCCCATCGTTGACTTTCTTTCTCCTCTTTGGTGATAACTAGGTTTCCTTCACTTCCTCTCATTGCTTTCATCTGTGTTGATCTCTTCCCTTCCAGATGGTATCCTGGTTATTTGATAAGATGTTGTCAGATCTCTCTCCATCTCTCCTACCAGCAGGCTGTTCTGCTTCACCTACAAGTGTATTGTGGAAGTGTCCATTGTCTTTGTGCACACTCCTCTTCACTTCTTTGTGGAGTATAGTGTGTTGCTGTGCTGTGTTCACTTCGTCTTTCATTGTTCATCCGTTCACTGCACTGCACTGCACTGCTCTGCACTGCACTGCACTGCACTTCACTTCACTTCTCTCTTCCATCTTCTGCCTCACCATCGTCCTCGCCCTCTTCCTCTCCCTCTCCCTCTCCCTCTCCCTCTCCCTCCTCTATCAGCTTCCATGTAGAGATCCGTTGAGATCCATTCCTTGTCCTGTCCTGTCTTGCTTCTTCTTCCTTCCTAACACCACGGTTATGCATGTTTCCTTCCACATCTCTTGCAAACAGTTCCAGTGTTCTTCCACTCAACTTTCTTCTAGGATGTTGCTCAATGTCTCCCATTTCGTTCTGATAACTGACCGACTGACTGACTGACTGACTGAATGACGTGAAGATGTCCTTGCAATTTCGTATTTCAGTTCAGTTCACTACTGTTGATCTGAGTTCAGCTGAGTGGAGTTGAGTTGAGTTTGTGTTCTGGGTGTTCAACCTCAACTATGGTCCATCATCCATCAACAGCTTCTTCCATGCCTTCCAACTTGATTTTGAAGGAGGATTCCTTGCACTGGATAGTGAGTGGTGTGAACCACCACCACCACCACCACCACCACCACCACCACCACCACCACCACCACCACCACCACCACCACCACCACCACCACCACCACCACCACCACCACCACCACCACCACCACCACCACCACCACCACCACCACCACCACCACCAAGTCTGCTCCCCTTCTTCATCTCATCTTGTGTCCAGTAGGCTGCGTCTCCACTCTCCTCACATTGAGATGAAGTCGATCTGACGTTGACTGCATAGTGTATCCACCATCTGATGAAGTCAGATCTGTGTCACTGCCTTGTGAATATGCTTGTGTTTGTACACACCGTCTGACTGCAATCACCAAATCGTTGAATGTGCAGGAGTCTTCAACCAGTTCTGCATTCTCACTCATCATTTCACTGAGTGCTCCTCGACCCACTCACATCTATAGTATCTATGCCATAGATACCTTGTCATCCCTTTTGCAATCCGTCCAGCCTGCTTGCCGGCTTCAAACATTGTTCGGACATTCCATTTCCGCATTTTTACTTTCACTTTCATCGATAGGAGATACGTCAGCGAATTCTCTTTTCGAAGACTTTACCAACTGGCGTCATTTTGTCTCTCCAATTCCAGCGAGGAATAAGTTTGGTTTTATTTTGTTTTGCGCTTTGAAGTTCTTCAGTTGCTGAATTGTTTTTTGTGGGTGGGGTTGCTATGCCTATGCCCAACCTTCTCTGTTTATCTAGTCTTAGCACCGGCTGGTAATTTTGAACTACTTAACCACATCATATTAATGTATTCATACGACTTTCAACATTTTTCCATCATCAAGTAAATAATGCTATATCATTGTATGTTATAAATCAAATTACCAAAACTAATATGGAACTGAATTTTTCAGTTCTTTTACGTTTGCTGTCTCTTTTTATTCTTTTCAGTAATAACGGACACTGTGATTACAATGATATGATTTCGTGGAATAAATTCTGCTCGTAGGGTCATTAAGTATATAATACTAGATCACTGTGTGTTATGAATTAAATAAGCAAATCTAATATGGAATTACATTCTACCACAGTGTTCAAGTTTTACACCTTGTTGTTGTTTTGTCGAAGTGTATAAAAGGAACTTGTTATTTCAAAAACCCTAAGTTGACCGTTGCGAAATGATGTCACGACGGGTGATTTCAAGTCATTCATATGAAGAAGCATCATTTGAGTCTATCTAAAGACACATATCAAAATCATTGAAGATTTACCTATGGTTTACTTATTACTTATTTATGAAACTCAGTGAAGCAGTTGGTGCATCATCGATCATTTATAATAATATACTTGTGGCCAATAGAGGTTGAACAATTCGACCCAGTACAACAACGAAGAATTACAAGTATATCAACAAATAGCTATAATTATAATAATAGTCTCGACGAGTGAAACATATCTTTCGAACTTGTAAGGACTGAGAATATTTGTAGCTTAAGTGGGTGATCTTGCTTGTCTTGTGTTCTCCGAGCTAGGTGGTTGGTCCGTGGAGCTTTTATTGTCTTTCTAGACAACATCATCAACACTAACTTCACTGTGAAGTCTCTTTGAACTTAATCCATCATTCACAACATTCTCATATGCCCCTGGCAAGAGGACAGTATCTTGAACAGACAAGTCAAATGATCTTTCTAGTTTAGTAACTAGTAGGGATGTTTCGTCTTACACTGATGAATACTAACTAATA